GAAACATATATAAACTAATGAACCAATACAATAAGATTGCATGTGAAGCACGTTTATAACGAACAGTACGTAACTAATAGCAATAATACAAACTCACCATCTGTCCTATTGTTCATACATGTATTAAACTGATCCTCTTCGTGGCACGCGCTTGAGCAAAAAATACCCATACTTTTGCAGGGACAGGAATTTCGCCCTCTCTATCGAAGACAGAAGCTGGCGCAAGCCGCGAAATGAACATATTGTTTCCAATTCTTCCAGCGAAAAGCTTTTTCCGAGTGCTTCTGCCATGACAGCAACAATGACTCTGGCAATGTGTTTTGACGAACAAATACCCCAAGGAAAGACTCATGATTACTTTGACACTTCCAAAGTTTATTTTACAATGCCGAACATTAATATAATCAACACAATGAGTGCGGACTCGCACCTTTGGCTCGGCTGTGTCGGTCTCTTCTGAATGTTTCATCAACGAGGCACACAAAAAACAAATGCCGAATTGATCAACAATATATCTTCCATTGATGATCTTTCAAAATATTTAATTGCTTGTCTTTCAGAAGACAATTTTAAAAAAAATAACAACTCCACTCCTGACTCGGACTCCATTTATTTAGTGCATAGCCGCTATACTTCATATTATACAATTGAAGTGGATCCAAACCAAAACAAAAAATGTAAACAAAGCCCGCACATGCGCAGAATGGACTGTAATCTAGCTTTAATAAGAGTTATTGGAACAAAATTACCGCGACTTCACTCGAAGCGAAACAAATAATGATATAACCAATAATAAATAACTTCCGTGTATGTCACATTAAATTTATATGATTTAATAACACACTGTCACGTTCTGATATAGTTGTCTGTTTCGTTTTTCTTTCGCGCTCGTATTCGACTTTTCCGCTTTGCTCGTGGACAACCTTAATTGAAATAGCTGTATACGTTCGAATAGACCTACCTGGTATAACGTCTGAGTTGTCTAACAGCTCATCATCCCTCACACATCTGTCAAGAAGATATGTCTTGTATTGGCCCAAGCATGTACATTCAAGACATCCTGAATCCACGGTAACAGGCCATTTAGTACAGTTAGCATTCCTGCCCGTACAGTTTGTATGATTTGAGTTTTCACTAAATGTATCGTGGTAGTCTCTGTCGATACGTATATCTTCACTGGCACCACATATGTGATGGTCGATCACAATGAGAAAGAATGTCAATACGATGACGATCACTTGTAATTGTAACACGAGTTTTGCCATCATAGCATGCGGTTAGATATACCTATAGCTACTACGTATAGACGTCAGCTTCGCTTAATAAAACGTATCCGAACAGCAAAGCAACCTTGCCCACCACAACCAATTCAAAGAACTAAGTCGATGTCTTGTGACTCAGAATACGTCGTAATATGAATACTAATTATCGGAAGCTGATTATTTGATTTCCTCTTTCGCTCTATTGTTTCAGTTTCATTGACTGTGTCAAGTGTCAACCACTCAGATGTAAAATCATAGCGTACTTCTTAATTAATTTTTTCTCACAGAAATTCATAAATTTTTGGAAAAATCATACATATAGATATATACGTACACGGTACATAATTGTTTTCAACTTTCAGTGAGTCACAAGGTCACAAGTATGAAGTGCTATCAAGTTTCTATATCACGCTGGCAAGCAAGGATTTTGTTGTTCAATACAAGACTTTTGTAAGTTGTTCGTTATCCTAACCGCTGGTACTTCGGAAAAAATGTAGTTTGCTACTGACTACATTCTAGTGTTCGAAATTGTGCCGACCTATTCGCCACATCACTACAGCAAAGTATCCTGCTATACCGACAATAATAATTTATATTTCACCGCCTTTGCAACTGAGGTCTCGAATGGCAAGAAATAAGATTTATGATAAACTGAATGGCCGGCTATAACCGTATAAAGCGGTTATGTAACCGTATATAATACCGGGCTATAACCATAAACGTGTACCAACAGGACAGCATTTTCGACACATTGGCATATAGTTTATTATTGAATATTGGCAAATCAGTCGAGCACAAGTACTTGGACAAAGCCAAAGGTCAAAGGAAAGATATATATTATTCAAAAACTCATTAATAATTCATGAAGCAATTATCCAATCTTGAGTAAGAAATTAGTCAAGATTGTTAGTCTGGGGCTCTGGGCATCCGGGAATTGAGGAATTGAACTTGAACTCTATTGTCTACTGAGTTCTGGAATCAGGGATTCGAGGAATCTGGATTCCCCGTTTTGAAGATAAAAAATGAAAATTTGTAATATTAAAAACAGTTGCCGGATGAGGATTTTGTGATATCCGAAATTATCAAGGTCGCATGTCACATGCCAGCCAATTATACACTATTATACTATTAATTAAACAGTACTTAATCTCTGTAATCATGCCATTTCATATTGAATCAAATCTAAAAAATGTCAGAGTGGGACACATGTATATATGATGGATATGTTAATGTATTATTTTACTTAGTTTAGTTTACGAGTCAAATCCATTGACGTGATTATCATAGTAAATATTGGACAGGAAGAAACTTCATTAGTTCCGAGTTGTTAATGTATAACACTGCATGCATGATATACAATACAATACAATACAATACAATACAATACAATACAATACAATACAATACAATACAATACAATACAATACAATACAATAAAAATTTATTTATCCACGGTGGAATCTTCAGTATATATATATATATATATATATATATACATATATATATATATATATATATATATATATATATATATATATATATATATATATATATATATATATATATATATATATATATATATACATACATATAGTTTGCATGCAAAATAAATAAAAGAATATAGTAAATAAAAGATATAGTTAAGCATGCAAAATAAATAAAAGAATATGATCTACTGGTTTACAAGATTGCCGTGTGGGAGTTCATCTAAACTATTATAATACTTGTTTACAGCTTTCCGGAACTGAGCAAACGATTGGAGCATTCTTATATTTTCGGGAAGGCTATTCCACAGTACTACTCCACTGTACTGAAAGCTTCGCTTCAGATAATTAGTTCGTGGCTTGGGTAGATTTAATTTCATTTCAAAGTTCCTAAGATTATATTCTGAGCCACGAACTGAAAAAAGATTTTGTAGATAGGTAGGTGTGTCACCTTTGAGTGTTTTGAACATCAAGCCAGCTTTAAGTTTTTTGCGTCTCAACGATAAGTTATCCAAGTGTAAAGTATCAAGAAGCACAGTAGCATTAGTGTCATAGCTGGACCTCGTAATGACCCTGACCGCCCGGTTCTGTATTTTTTGTAGTTTAGAACTTAGTGTTTCGCCAAGACCATCCCAGACCCAGCAGCAGTAGTCAAAATGGGGTTGAATCAGTGCTTGGTACACTTGGATAGCCGTGTTCGTTGAAATGCAGGATCTTATACGTTTTAAAGCCCCTATGGCTGAAGCAATTTTTTTACATAGTTTATCAGTATATGCTCAGACCACATAAGGTGATTATCAAGATGGACACCCAGAGATTTTACCGAAGTAACTTGGTTGACCATATTACCGTTTATCTCAATATCTATTTCATTATTTAGTGTTTTTATTCTCTGTTTAGATCCAACTACCATGAATTCTGTTTTTACAATATTTAAGCCTAGTTTATTAGTGGTTAGCCAATCGCTTAGACCTTTCAATTCGGTGTTAATGACATTTTGTAGCTCTTTGGCTGAGTCGGACGCATAACTAATACTTGTATCATCTGCGAACATTCTTGCAGTTGTATGATCAAGACAGTTCGGTAAATCATTAAATGGCCCTAGACTGCTACAGGGACACCGCAGGCCACTGGCACTGAGAATCTGACAGTTGACCGTTTACCCGGCACTTTTGAGTTCTATCAGTGAGATATGAATGAAACCAGGTAAGACTGTTTTCGTCAATACCATAATTTTTAAGCTTTTGCAGGATAATTTGATGATCGATCGTATCAAAAGCTTTCTTTAAATCAATAAATACAACTCCGTTAATTAGGCTATTGTCAATATTCATGGACCAGTCGCTTGTGGCTTCTAGCAACGCTGTTAGGGTACTATGAAACGGTCGAAATCCAGATTGGCATGTGTTCAGCAAATTATTTGAATCAAGATACCCATGTAGTTGATCGAAAATGATTGTTTCAAAAATTTTAGCAACACATGGAATAATTGATATAGGCCGATAGTTGCCTGGGTTATTTCTTGTGCCACTCTTAAATGCTGGCGTTACTCTGCTTGCCTCAGTTCCATTCATACGGGAATATTCCGGTATTAATAGATGCAGTGAATATTCCTGTTAACGAGGTTGCAATAACACTTGCAGCTATCTTTAGGAATTTGTTTGGTATATTGTCCAAACCAGCTGACTTCTTATCATCTAATGTAGTCAGCAGTTGATAAACTGTGTTAACGGAGGGAGTTTTGAGAGAGAAAGATTTATCAGTTGGTTTAAGATAAAACTGATAAAATACTGGATCACGCACAGGAGCAGGAATATCGGAAGCAAGTTTTTCACCAATACCTGAGAAGTAGCTGTTAAATGTTTCAGCTATTTCTTCAGGTGCAGTTATTTCTCGCTCTTCAAAATCTAATTGTGTTATCTTTTTAGTTTTGCTTACATTTCTAGAGCTTAGTTCATTTATAAGGTCCATGTTTTTTCATGTTGCCTTTACTCGATTCAAGATTATTCTTATAATAAGCTTGTTTAGTTTTT